TGGGCTAGTTAAGGTCAAGGTAGGGTTGGCCAAACATACTTTCTGTGAAAGTATAGTTACCCATAGATAATTTTTGGAAAAATTATATAACAACATGCATTGGGTCCTTTTTTAGTATCTGCATGGAATTCAATTTGAAATAGGCTTGTAAAATGTTAGGACCATCCGTTTGCTGATTCTCCGACAAGCCTCTTGAGTTTCAGTAGCTGAGAACTGTAAGTTATAATAAATCACAGGGCTCTTAAGAGCCGGAGCTCTACAGCTGGGATGGAAGCTGTGTGTTGGCAGCTCAGTAACACTCTTTTGTCTCAAACTAGCAAAATGTTCCAGGCTGATTGTGTGTAAAGTCCAGCAAACTAGAGGGCAGGAGGCCAGCTGGCAGAGCCCACTGTGGACAGGAAAAAAGATAATGTTCTGTACAAATCCTCTGTGTAGCAGTCAGCACCTTCCACTAGAGGACTATTTACATATCGACTTAACTGAATGTAATACAATGTCAAATGTCGTTCACAAATATCAACTCATAAATACAAACTCCTTAAAGGAGATCCCTACCCCATAGAAAAATATATAGGCTGCTGCTTATGACCTTCTAAAAAAAAAAAAAAAGACACACACCAGATTAAGCATGCAGCAAGTGAAATCAAGACTCTTGATCCGCATACTTGCTCCAGTTAGCCAGGAAACTAAGAAGCATGCTGATAGGTTGAGAGTGCACACTGACAGAGAGATAAGCTCATGTGCCTCTTCTTGTCCAGTCATAGGCTGGAGTGGTTCCAGGACAACCTGAGCTCACGGGAAATGGATTTAATAATGCTGGTCCTCAAAATCTAGTGGCAAAAAAGTACTGTGGGTAAAATTTCTGGATTATAGGTGAATATTGCAGCAAAAGCTTTTTTTTTTTTTCTACATTTTATTTAGGCTATACGTCGTTATCCTTTTATTTTTGACTGAAATTCTGCTTTAAAGGAAAAATGCAATATTATAGTGAAAACTGTAGAGACTCTTCCTTGTTCCCTCCATTTAGATCCAAAATGTACATGTGGTAGCTCAGCCTGGCAACTGTTGGTTTCAATAGGAGTGTGAGTGCTCTAGATGACTTCTCCAATTTGCTATTTGTGCTCTGCAGCACCAGAAATCATAACTAGTTTTCCATTGCTATATATTCATATGGTTTCCCTTGATTTCCCATAATACAAATATTTACAACATTAAAAAAAACAAAAAACTTTGGAGAACTATACTTACTCTCAAGCCAGGAAACCCAGGAGGTCCAACACCACCAACAATTCCCTACAAAACAAACATGGGTGACATTAAATACTGCCATAATTATCTTGCAGAATTTGCCCACAAGCGTCAAGAGATGGGCAGGCAAGGCAACAAAAGTCCACTTCCTCTGAAAATGTTGTAATTCATCAAGACCGGCCCTGAACTACAAAGTGTCCTAATGTAGCACTTGCTTTACACTCTGACAGCAGGCATGTGTATGTGATGTCAAGTGAATGGATGGGGGCTAGAAAGGTTCTTGATTGACCAGACTGCCTTTGATCTGTACCCATGTTGGGATGGATGGAGCAATAGAAGCAGAATGCATTGAGTAGAACAAGTTGTGCCACTACTACTGCCAGTAAAAATCTATAGTAGACTTCTTTAGTGTGCAATCTGACTGACCAGGTCCCCTCTGATAATTGTTAAAGTGGGCAAACCCACAGAAGACAGTGCTTATACCAGGCAAGCTAGACAAACCCATCACCTTTGCAATGGGTTTAGGTAAGCTGTAAAGAAGGCATCAATGATGTGCAGCCCCAGCACTATTAAAGTGGAACCACAACTTCTTATGCTTTACAGCCAGGAAAGGTGCCACCTTAGCCTCTATTTGGACTGCAGTTGCCATGGTGCTGCAAATGTGATCAGCTATGACACCAGCCATTTCAGGGCTTGAAGAAGATGTGTTAACCCTACCCTCGTACTCAAGGGTTAACATCTTGTTTTTGCCTAAGGTAAAAAAAAAAAATTCTACTCACCACTGCAGCGATGGTATGTGCCTCAGCGTCCTCACATCCTATACACTGTATTGGACGTGATGACTCGAGGATTCCTAGACTGCTGTAGCGTAGGCAAAAAACAACCAGTTAACTCTTGCAGTGCTGGGGTAGCCCAACTGCAAAGGTTAATCACATTTCTGCCCAGAGTTTTTTTAAAGTTCCGTTGAGAGTTGAAATAAAGCACACTGGCAACCTTGACTGTTGGCATGCCTTGAAAGAAACTGGTTTGGAAGACATTACATTGCTGGGCCTAGTTGCACTAGTCAGCAAAGAACTAGGGCTGCAACAACTAAATCGACATAATCGGTTATAATCGATTATTGAAAAAGTTGTCAACTTTTTCAATAATCGATTAATCGGCTTCCGATCAGTTGGCCCTGTTCACAGCTCCACACGCTGTGCGCCGCACCTCCTCCCCACTTCACGCTCGCCGCTGCCAGACCCGCTCGCATTCACGCTCCACATGCCGCACCTCCTCCCCGATTGATGATATTCTGCATTGCGCTGCATAGAGGACTACAAGTCACAGTAATAATACATTATACAGCGCAATGCGGAATACTAGCAGCTATAGAGCACTACAACAAATCCCAGCAATAATACATTATAAAGTGGTACAATGCTAAATACCACCAGCTATACAGGACTACAAAACCTAGCAATAGTACATTGTACAGCGCAATGCAGAATACCGCCAGCTATTATGTACTATTGCTGCGATTTGTTGTATTCCTCTATCGCTGGCGGTATTCTGCATTGCGCTGTATAATGTGCTTTTGCTGGGTTTTGTAGTCCTCTATAGCCGGTGCCATTCTGCATGCATTGCTGTATAATTTTACACTTTCCATTTCACTATATTGCACACCACACTATCTTTTTTCTTTTTTACTTCCACCGCTCCAAGCTTGCTCCTGTGATGGACTACAACCTCAATACAAACTAGTAGTGCATCACTGGAGCCATTTTTTAAACTTTATTTTATTGTTTATCCGATTAACCGATTAATCGAACCTAATAATCGGCTAACTAATCGATTTTAAAAATAATCGTTAGCTGCAGCTCTACAAAGAACCATTAAAAGAGGACCTTTTCCTTAAAGAGAACAAATAGAAACAAATTGTAATGCAGTGCACCCTCTTATCCTTCCATTGGCATTGGATCATATGATTAAATATAACCACAGACACATTATTTAAAAATAGCTACACTTACTTTTTAGTAACAAATTTGTTACTTCCTCTAACAGTACATTTTAAGAAGTGGCATTCCAAAAAATGTATTTCGTGATCAATATTTGCCAAGTCTACTGGCAGTAATGTAGGTAGCTTCCAAAATACAGGGAATATTCATGTTTATGCAAAACTCATGCTGCCTGGGCATCGCACAAGAGCTCCTATGATTCCAAATAATGCCCAGTAGGCCTGCACTTTTGGCATATACCAGAATTGGCAGATTACTGGCCTGTTTCTAAGTGATTTACTGAAAAACAAAAGACTAATATGTCAAAACTGTAGTGATACAAAAATGCAACTGGCCGAAAAATGTGTAAGTCTTATGGCATTCCAATTGAAATGATTAATAATAAGCACTATATAATGATTAACAGTAAGGTTTACATCATATTTAACATATGAAGGAGTCGTTCCCAGTATTATTATTAGTCTGCAATTTTGTTTTCAATCTGAAAGGTTAACGGACATTAACAGGAACCACATCATTTCATGCAGATTAATAATAGATGTACGGAACGGATTTGAGAATTAAATAATTGCTTAAATGCAATTAAAAAAACTACCATTGCCTTGCATGAATTACTCTGCATCACGAGCACTTTACAAGGGATTTACGGACATTATAATAGTGACGCCTCAAGCTATGCGAGGCTTGCACAGTGTTATTCACCCAATGTTACCAATTTTACGGGTTAGTATTTCTGCAATACACTGTGAAGCTCTGTAAATGCAGCAGATACTTACTGGGCTCCCATCTGGTCCGGGAGGCCCTCTATCACCTAAGTCTCCAAGAAAACCCTAGAGGAAGCACAGACATAAAAGATGTGATTGTTTAAAAGCATGGCCAGTACAGACAGGTGCATTCATACATCATTTTGTTTGTTTATAAATATACATATTGAGCAATACAGTAAAAACCAGTCTGGTTATGTCGAAGGGGCCATGAAGAACCAAAAAAGCCTTCAACTAGAATATTGTGAAGGTCAGCACTGCCTCCTTTAATGGGAAGGTGTAGTGCATTTTCAATGGCTATATATTGAGTTATTATTATTACAGTGAACATTAACAGTTATAATATGATTAAAATAATTGACATCTTTTATTACCTCTTTTGACGGGCTTTTGTTCACCTCAAATACGATTAGCATTCCCATACATGTCTGTGTGGGTGCAAAACCCATTAAAGCAGGTCATTGCACCTTTCAATGAATTCTAAATGTTAGAAGTGTCTTATACTGATGCCACTGACACAAGCCCGAAAACCATCGACAAAGGCCCATACATGTACTGTAAATGTAGAATGTTGATAGGACTGTATATCCCTTTAAAAGTAACTTTACATGACAGTATTTTCCCAGTTTCATAAATAAGAGGTTTATTCATTTCTGAAGAACACTGGGAAGTGCTACTGAAATAGTCCCCCAAAGGTCAACTCTGTATGTAGGTCCATCAGTATCCTGTATAACTTTTATTTTATTCTTACCTGTTATTGAATAACTTAGATACAGCTAAACTGAACTTCAGAAAATATTCAAACAATATGTATAATTCTGGAAAATATATTTTTAAAATGACCGCATTCATTATTACATAAAACAAGTTTAAGTGCATGCATCTGTCTAGATATAAGTCTTCTGTTATCCCCTGCAGAGCAGATTCAGGAAGATAGCGTTGACACCCTATCACAAGAAGTGCCTGAACAAGGACCTTCATGATAGGATCACCAGGTATTATTTCAGTGAAAACTGCAGTTTAATGATATTGAAAATTATTTGTTTAAGCTTATGTATGATTTCATGATTGAGTTTAGTTTACATCTAATCTAAACCTCGTGGCTTTTAATCTAGTAGAACATTTATAGGAAAACAAATGCACAGCAAGGAAGTCTCAGCATCCTTTTCCTTCTCATCTTCTGCTCTGCAGAGATGACATCACCCCTTTCGCTTTGATAAGACGCAGTGATAGTCAGCCTGTGAACAGCTGTTGCTGTCGCTCTCCCAGTTTCCTCAGTGTGTCTTCCTTTGAGAATATATCCTATGCAGAGTTGATTATTGGAAACAGGGACACTGCAGAAATGTGCAATATTTGGATTTGCCTTGCCTTATTTACTGAAAAAGCTAAACCAAATTTGCAATAATGTACGAGTCTAAATATCTTTTCTGCAGTTTAGAGTTTGCCTCGCTGTTACACTTTGGACCCAAAGGCTACTGATAAAACGTAAGTCTGTAGTGCATTGCGGCTCCTATATTACAAGCCAGTGATGAAAGGCATGCATGTGAATTACATGCCATTTAGAGCATTGACCAACATCTTCTAGAGCAGTGGTGGCCAAACCCACGCCCTCCAGCTGTGCTGAAACTACAAAAATCCCATCATGTTTCTGACACTGAATGCTGTGCCATACATATCTGCCATACATGCCACATACAATGCTGTTTTAACACCTCTATGGGTAGGTTAATAACACCTCCTAGCTCCAATTATGAAAATGAAATCAACACCTGGTTGCGACTAACAGATTTTGTGGATTGGAACAAAATTCACCAATATTTATTCCCAAGTCATTCTGAATTGAGAAAGCTGGTCGGATGTCCAGTGAAACGTCTTCAAGAAAAATACAGCAAGTCCAGTTGCCCTGACTTATTTTTTACAGATAAACATAACATGTTCCATTATGTTGGGATGCAGCCAATACAAGTATGATTTTGTTTGTGCCATCGAGGTCACCCCCAATTCCAGTCTCTTACTTACCACATCATGTACAATGTTTACTTTACCTTGAGCAAAAGTCCTCTTTGGCGCCGAACACACCTGCACGCTGAACCCTTAAAAACTTGTATGGGGCTGTCCCAGAAACCGGAGTGTCATCTTGGGTCAGCCCCATACAAGTCAACAAAAGATCAGTTTGCAGTAAATTAAGCAGTGCAGATGATGAGGCTCTGCTATAGAGGTAAGTAAAAAGCTGAGGTGGGGAGTGTGAGTGCAGGTTAGTTCAGGAGGGGTGGGAAGAATGGGCAGGAGGATTTTATGTTAAAAGTCTGGTTTGGCCTTGTAAACTGGTTTTGAATCTGGAAGAAGAGTGCAAGTATTTCCGGTTGGGTGGACTTCAGTCTGCACCCATACCAACACAGCACATAGCTCCTGCTGTTGAGTACAAGAGGCCCATGGGAGTCACGGTACCCTCTAATTTATAAAGCAGAAGGGTCTGAATCACTTTTGTCAGGGGTTGACTCAGCTATGGAAAACCCTTTCATGAACTCCCTTGCACACAAGACGCTACTGCTCACCCCAACACACCCACATCTGCCATCTCCATAGCAGCTTTCTTCCTTCTTAGTGTGAAAACAAAGCATTTATTTTTTAAGAAACAAAACTTTTGGGAAGGTCTGAATAACACTTCAGAGTTCAGGAACTAAGGTGATGCTTTGGAAAAATGTAACAAAACATGTCTTCTCTTTTGATTTAAACCATGTGCTGAATAATAGTGTGTTAACTACTGATGTCACTTAAGGTGGAATTCCCACCAAACAGCTAAATATACAATTGAAGCGATCCCCTGCAACACTGTTTTAATGTGCAGGGCAAAAACAATGCAATATATACTGTTGTAGCTTTGCATTTCTTATATCACCTTCCTGTTTATTGGACTATAAATTAGTATTATTTTGCTGAGGACCTCCCAGGATTTTCTCTATTCAAGTCATAGTGCCTGAAATATGTTAGACTGTTGGCATTGGGAACTGGCTCACAGTATAACCTCCAACTGGTTCACAGTATAACAACCCACTAAATCACATCAGTACATATTTCTCATTGTCTCATTTTTGTATGGGGTCTCGAAATATTAACTGTGTTTAATGGATTAAGATGGTTTGTGTATGTTGCCAACCAGAACCTATAGACACTTAGGGTTTAGGGTAATTTTATGCTATATTAACTATAGGCAGCCACCTGGAAAGTTCATCTACAGCAATCTAATTCAAAGCTGGATTCCAGGCATATACTAAATATAACGTTGACATTTACATATGGGAAACATTTTACCTGCTAAAAGACTTGCATTTCTCTCCATGCAGCCGTGAGATTAACATAGACAGGGGAGCCTCGCTTTTCTGTACTGCAGTTAAGCAATACAGCCAGGTCACCTCTCCACCCCCAGGCTGTGACTGGACAGTAAAAACACAGCAGCAAACAGGTGTCTGCTCACTCTGCTATCTCCTCCTATCAGTACATGTGCATGCAGCACACTTAATGACTACCAGAGCTGCCCTTCCCTTGCCCAGCCTGAATTCAGGTACATAATCTAATTGCATTTAAAAATAGAATCCATGATTTTATAGGAAATACATAACTGTTTATTTTTTGTCTTCCTAGATCCCAGCTTTAAACATTCCTCATTTCACAACTACTCTGCTTTTTAGCCATCTAGCTTAGGCAGACCAGTGGAAATGAATGTCCGATGATACGGTTTTATCCAATAAACCCGGCTGGAAATAAAATGCCATTTTTGAATGAATAATTCCATGTAGCTCGATAACGCATGCCTCTGGAAAGTACAACCTCCATCTGGGCCAAAGTCCAGTCTATAAAAGCTGCAGCTTGAATACATTGTCAGGCTTTATATTGCCATATGTTAGTGATGCGCTATAAACAAGGCCAGAATGATGTAATGATCGCTATCCATGTGTGTGTTTTTCCAAAGAGGGGCTGCAAGACAACCTAAAATAACTCGGGAGTGCAGTGAAACTGGCCCCCAACCAACTATCACAGTTTTTAGGTCCTTGTAACTGCAGGATGTGTTTGGGAAACACTTCTGAAGTGAACGGACTCTTTGTTATGTGGTTTATTACATTCCGCTATGAGGTCCGCTGCTGAAACTGTAACATTTGTGGAATACTTACTGGGCTACAGGCACATTTGTATTATTCATCAGATCTGTATTTTGTTATAAAAGAAATTATATTGGATGGCTTATTCTGCCCAAAATGGATATTCCAGGTTTTGATGGATGGATCGTGGAAGGACAAATTGCTCACTATAGTCTTACACTTTATCTTATGGAAACAATGATTGCCTTTGAACGACTCAAGTTTTCGGCCAATCAGTTTTGTGAGCCCTTCTGAACACCAGTGCCTTTAAGGTGAATCTGACCTTAATAAATAGGTTCTAAGGCACCAAGAGTTTATGAAGGTGAGATTAAGCCATACCCCACCTGATGTGAAGACTTGCTCTTCCACTGTCAGAGCCACTATTGCCTACACAAGTTCTGTCATTTGGCAGTTGAGTTACAGCAGTGATGTTTGGTCTGGGCAAGAGCAAGGTTTATTCTTGACTTAAGCAGAAGTCAAGGCCCCATCTATAACATAAGCGTAGGGTTCAAGGAGGCTCTGTAAAGGTCACTTTGAAGTTTAAAAAAGGTGCCCGCACTTCAGTACTAATGTTACTATTTAAACATTTCAGGTCAACTGAGGTTCACCTTAAATGACCCTAGACTTCAGCTCTGACACTTCCACCATCACATTATCAGGAGCAAGGTCTATTCTTGACTTAACCAGAAGTCAAGGCCCTATCTATAACATAGGCGTATGGTCCAAGGAGGCTCTGTAAAGGTCAATTTGAAACTTAAACCAGATGCCAGTACTAATCTTAATATTGAAATATTTTAGGCCAACTGAGGTTCACTAGGCTTCAGCTCTGACATCTCCATATCACATTATCCAATGAATGCTTCTCTGTTAATCACTGAGGCTTGTGCATAGAGGGAAACCAAGGGGGGTATGCCGAAGCTCTGAGCTGCATCTGAAGCCGAAAACCCATGTAAGGACCATTTCTGTGTTCTGGGGACCTTTGTGCTCGATTTTGTTAACAGCTACAGGTTTAATATAACACACCTTTGTTAGCAATTATAATTGCAGTCTTGGCATTTTTTGCATCCTCATTATTTTATATTCTTAAATTTCATTACAGAGCATTTCATAACACTAATAAATCATTTAACACCATCTATTAACAGAAGAAATAATTACCTGTAAAACCACAATTTCAGCTTAAATATATCACGTTCTCTGTACATGACTTGGCTCTTACCTGGGCTCCTTTCGGTCCTTTCTTCCCAGGTGGCCCTGGCATTCCCTGAGGGGGAAAACAATTAGGATAGATTCTGTTAGATATGTGGGTTAGGTTTATACATGCCTGTTACATAAAATGACTATTAAATAAAACATACCCTGCATATTCAGTAAGTTCTCATTATTGTAATGTTTACTTTAAAGCAAACCTGTCATCTTAAAACACAAGCCAAAGGAATGCCTTATTACATTTAAAGGGTAATTCCACTTTCCCAGGCCTGACTGCACTGACCAATGAGTGCTCGCCATTTGCAAGCAAAATTTTAAATACAGAGCGCAGGGTGCACTGCTGTGTATGGAGTATGTTTAGTACACCGGAACCGGTGGAAAGGGAGGAGCGCTCAGCCAAAGGTAAGTACAGGGGGGTACTTCCATTTCCCCAAATTCGGCTGAGAAAGTGGAATGACCTTTTAAGGCAATAAATTACCTCTAACATACCAAATAGTATGCAGATCGAGTTCTGACTTCTCCAGCTGCCTGCTTGTTCCAGGCCAGTGACACAGAAAGTTTTGAAAAGGCAGCTGAGCAACTAGTATTTTTAGCACAGCACAGCAAAGCACCAGGTTCACTTAAAATCAAACCTGTTCCCCACAATTTGCACACAAAAGTTTTTACATATTCTAAACAAACAGTAAAAACACTTTACAACAAGCTATAATTTATCTCTGCAGCTATACGCACTGTGGAGAAATTAATCTTCAAACTCACCACATAGTACTGGAAACTTTGTATTTTTTGCACATTTCGTGCACGTGTCTTCATGTGCATGCGTTTTCGCGCATGCAAAAATGTGCAAAAAAAGCTAGCTGAGCCTGCACGTACAAGCGTGAAAAAACGATGATGCCTTGGTGTAAACGGGGCCTTAACTAGGCCCGGTGCTGCCTCCTGGTAACCTGCGCTAACTGTATGGCTTGCTATATATTTCCCATAGTTGGAAATTAAGTTTCGAGCAAAGCTGGTCATACACTGCTAGATTTCTTTAGTCAACATTGTACTGCTTTTTGTATTGCTCTGTCCATGTTCACCTTTCCATTTTTACTATTAATAAATTAGTCAGAATGGCTGTCATTCTCGCTTTGTTTGTTTGGTTTTGATGCCGACACACAATGGGGGTCTACAGCTACTTTGAGGGCAATGTCGGGCTTCCGGTATTTGCTGTAGCTTATAGGAGTAGTGGGCTGCCTCCAGGTAGTATAT